ATGGTGATTTTTGCAATGTTCATGAATTAATTTGGTATTTTGTACAATGAGTTCTTCTGGTGGCAAAAGGGCTTTTGGCACATGTGCTTTAAGATATGCCTTAATCCTTAGACATGATGAAGTGTTTTGTATTTCATTAGGCCTCATTAGTTATATCTATGTACTATACTATTGTTTTGTTGTGTGTATCTTATGAATGAGTCTTTTGGGGTTTTCTCCATGAGATGTATGCCATGTATTGGCCAAGTCATATTGCCCTGTGACTTTCTCTGTCACAATTATCTCTCACCCCCTCCTTTCGTCGTCAAAGTTTGGACTGTCATGCAAAACCAGTTGTAATGTAATCCATAATTAATGAAAAGTTGTGTTATTACGACTGGCAGTTTATGCTTGTTCTGCGTGTGGAGATCCACAATTGTTTCACCAGTAATTTTTTTTGTACCAGCACCCGTTACTGTAGGTTTCCAAAACCTGTCATTTTTTTAAGTTGCACATGACATTGTTTGGTCGCATACTATGTTACTCTGGTGCTACATTTCTGAAGTGTTACTGTAATTCTGTATTACTGACTTACACTGCCACTGATCTTTTTCATTTACTTTGCTACTGCTTGAAGGATTATTTTTCATCTGATACTCAGTTTTGGGAAGGGAAAATTGGAGCCTTTTGCATCCTAATGACTTGGCCCTTCTCTTACTCCTGTACTTAAGTGCTTATTCTTGTACAACCCAATGTCACCTCAAAGGCACTGTAAAAGCAACTGCAGAACTTGGAGTGATAGGAATGTATAGCCAGCTCATAGCAGAGTGTTCTTCATAGGTAGCAAAATGGACTTCTGTATAAATATTTGTATTTACTGCTGATTATCTTGAACTGGCTCTGTTGCTGTATAGTACTTCATTTGTGAATTCAGAGATAACTCCAAATTTGGAAGAAATACTATTTGTCCAGAATGAGTCTGCTGCCCAACATAACAATGAAATGCAATTTCTAGCACAACAAAGAGGGCTTGTGAATACAAGCTCAATGACATTTGTGTCACTTCCCAAAACATAAGTGTTTGGTGGAGTAGGAGGGACTGTTGAGAAGCTCGCTGTTCTAGCCGCCTTACAAAGGCCTATGTCAACCAAACTGACACTAAGGCAGTCATCATTTATTTATCATCTGAATTTGAGAGGGGAAAGATTTACTCTGATTAATGTTTGTTGCACAATGAAGTATTCAGAAGAAAAAAAACAATGGCAAAGATAAAAATCTTTCAGTCAAATAACGGTGCACAGAAATTACACTGTAGCTTTCTTGCACAATGAAGTATTCTGAAGAAAAAAAAAAAACAATGGCAAAGATAAAAATTCATCAGTCAAATAATGGTTGCACAGAAATTACACTGTATCAGTGCTATGTTAATTTCAGAATTCAAATGAGTGTATTCCTCTGATGATAAAAGACAGCACACACCCTTCTGGTTAAGTCAGTAAGCCTCGACTTTCTTTTAATTAAATTTTATATAGGGACTAATACCCATTACAACTTTATAATGTCATGTTTTACTTAATTTAAAGCATACATCATGCACTTCAAAATGTCACCAGTCATTTTTTTTAACAGGCCTGAAAATACAGCCACTTAATTATTACTCAGCTGATGGTATAATTATCATTTTTCACATTTTGGAAATAATTTAACTGTAAAACCACAGAATGTAGAAAGTAACACGAAACACTGTACCTATATATTTTTTTCACTCATATTTACAAAGTATTCTTTTTGTTACTACAGAACAGCAGTTCCTTTCTCTTCAAACCCCCTATTTGATAGTTAATACATTTTTAAAATAAAATAACTTTTTGAATCTACTGAATTTGTTAAAACGACAGCTTCTGTAATGCATGTCATTCTGCGACTGTCAATTTGTAGTTCATAGATACTAATCTACATAAATAAAAATGTTTGTTTGTTACCCCTTGAAAATCTCTGAAAGTTCTTCACCGATTGCTTCAAAATTTTGACACAACGTTGCATTCGAATATGCGCGTTTTTATACACCCATTATATAGATGTCACACCGTGACAGGTAAAAACATTCGTCTTTTGAAAACCGGAATTGGAATTTGGAATTCAGAAGAGTCACCCCTATGGAAATGCTAGAACAGACCGTTGCATAGGAAGTAACAATAGCGATACTGTATCGAATCTCCATGGTTACAATGAATACACGGAGTGTTCCCACAGAGACAACGCAATAACAATGGGTCGTTGCGTAGGAATCGCGGAATCAACAAAGCAGCACATGGCTGGAGATATTTTCCGTCTAATACGCAAGGAAAATTCCAATATGAACATGGATTTCACAGCAGAAATCTGCAACGAAGCGTTTATAATGATTGAAGATTTGTGCTTAGAAATCGCGAACGAAGTTCTCAATCAATTGGGAATGCCATCACCGAATCGATCTGCTGCTGCTTCGTTCAATGAAGAGTTGCGTCGTGAACAAAATTACAACACGGGTGGTCTTTTGTCGTATGTGCAATCAAATATTCCTAAGCTAACGCTTGAGCAAAAAGGCATTTAAGATCAAATAATGCAACCTGTCAATGACGGGGTTGCAGAATTATTCTTCTTAGATGCGCCAGGAGGAACTGGTAAAACATTCCTAATTAGATTGAGTCTGGCAGCAATTCGATCCCAAAATGACATAGCCTTAGCTCTTGCATCGTCCAGAATAGCTGCGACATTGCTACCAGGTGGAAGAACTGCTCATTCCGCTTTGAAATTGCCATTGAACATGCAATTTGTTGAAACTCCCACGTGTAACATTTCCAAAGCATCAGGCATGGGAAAGGTATTGCAGAAATGCAAACTTATTGTTTGGGATGAATGCACAATGGAGCACAAAAAATCGCTCGAGGCTCTTCATCGACCATTGCAAGATTTGCGTGGAAACATCCGACCATTTGGGAACGCATTAATATTGCTTGCAGGAGATTTCAGGCAAACATTACCTGTAATTCCTCAATTGACACCAGCGGACGAAATAAATGCTTGCCTGAAATACTCTACTTTGTGGCGACACGTAAAGACGTTAAAATTAACTACAAATATGCGTGTCCAGCTGCAAAACGATCGATCAGCTGAGATATTCTCACATCAATTGCTGGAAATTGGGAATGGAAAGGTGCCGGTTGATCTGACCTCAGGATGAATTTCGTTGCTGCATAACTTCTGCAATTTAGTGACGTCAAAAGAAGAACTGGTTGAAAAAGTATTTCCCAATATTCAAACCAATTATAAGGATCACCACTGGCTGAGTGTACAAGCTATTCTTAAGGTCAAGAACAAAGACGTCTACGAACTTAACAATATCATGCAGTCTAACATTCACTGCGAGGTAGTCACAAGCCCGTCGACACTGTTGTGGAAGCAGATGAAGTGGTTAATTATCTAACAGAATTTTTGAATTCACTCAATCTGCCACAGCAACGCGTGGCCGGGTACAGCTAGTATTAAATAATTTTGGAAACAATAAAAAAAATGTAAAACAAAATGATGTAACATTACAGTGGACTCCTGAGCTTGTTTTGATAAATGCAGGTGCTTCAAAGTTCGGTTAAAAGAAATGCAGCCCCTGCTCTGGTTTTGCACAAACTTCGTTACAGTTCACGCTAGGCTCCACACTTCCATGTACATATGGAGTTAACACTAAGAGGAAAAGGTGGACAGAATTTTCAACATAGTTAATAACAGAGATATACCTTCATTATTGTCACTTTTGTCATCCATTTTACAAACTAGAATTAATAAGACCTGGAGATATAAACATTTCAAACATTTCAATGGCACTCTCAAACACAAAAGAAAGAGACTCAGATGTATTTGTCTGCCTAACCCCATTCAGTGGCTGATACAATTCTTTCTCCTATTCAAAATAATGTGCGAACCTACCATTCTCATTCATTACAGACTAGGTTATTAAAGAAGAAGAAGAGGAAAAGTAAAGCTATTCCTGTACCAGGCCATATAGGCCCATAGAGTTGTGAGACGATGAGGATCCCACACTATCAAGACAATCGGCTCAAAGATGGCGGTAAGGTTGTCAGCCTTACACACCGGCCACGCTCTACTCGCCAGGAAAATTATTTAATTAATTCCTGGTACTCATTTCTGTTGGAGGCTGAGTAAACCCCAGGGCCTAGTGTGGCTGGAAGGATTAGGTCAACCGAAAAAAATCCAATGACCTCATCGGGACTTGAACCCGCGAACTTCCGGCTTGTAGCATAGTGCCTCAACCAACTACGCTACTGTGCACCCCTCCTCAAATTCATGTATGCCTCAATACAAATTTCTATTAATTTTCATCTTGCAGTTTCTTTCAGGCTCATTTATTTTGCTTTTCAAGAATTCAATAATACTGTGTCCACTAACTTTTGCATCTTACATTGCACAGATTGTCAGATAATGGTAATCATGCAGACCCTCTCTGGCTTACTTCGAAGGCCTTGCTGAAGTCCACATTAGCATCCACATCATTTTGCTTCCAGAGAATGGGTATCTCATTGTCAGATTTTTGCACTACTCACATATTTACTGACACTCTCCTAACTTTTGCATGCCGCAGACAGTGGTCTCACAGTAAACAGAAATAACCTAAATAACTCAATAGTTCAGCATTTTTCTTGAAAAGCCGGTAATCACTGAGTTGGTCACTACATTCCCCACCTCTTATAGAACCCTAAAGTTAATTCACAACCACCTGTGACTGAACCCTACGCTGAATCATTTGGATCAACTCCCCATTTCCTTTGATAAAGTTTAATATTTTAAAGCATTCTGCCTTCAAGGATGTGGTACTGTGTAGATATTGTGCAAACTGACATTTCAAAGGAACATATCGCCTCCATCTTCAGGGTATAATAATCTGTGAGTGAGGAACCAGTGTGAGCAGGTGGCTGCAGATGTGATATGTTCCTCCGAAACATCGGTTTGTGCAACATTTACATGGTGTCACATCCCAGAAGACAGCATTCTTCTTCATAGTCACGGCCATGAAAACCTCAAATCTTTAATATTATATTCCATCCTATAACTAGGTCTCCCAAGGAACCTCTCCCTTTCAGGATTTTCAACTAAAATTTTGAATACATACTCGTCATCCCCATATATTCTCCATGTTCCACCTATCTCATTCTGCATGATTTGAACCTTTTAACACACAAGCAAAAGTTGAGTTTCAATTAATTGCTTGATGGTGTGAAGTACAATGTCTGAACATTAATACAAGAATCAAATATACTGTTAAATGTGCAAATTCTGTTACATACTGGCACCTTAAAAAATTATAATACTATTCTAACTGAAACACTGCCATTTTGCTACACTCATATAACATGAAACAAATCCTGCAAGACACAGGACATGATGGGCATTTGGCATGTTGCTCAGTCTTCTGGTATTTCTTTAAACAACAAAATGGGACAAACATAGATCTTCTTGGACACAGCCCTTATACAGATGTGGTGCTATATATATTCCAGAGTGAGATTTTTCTGTCCTTTCCTCCTGCTGCCATGAACTGTACTACACGCCCCCCAGAAAAACAAACATCATTGATTTCTGCTGAATGTTCTGTCAGTGCTGCTAGAGGCCGGTGAGATTTCCATGAAAAAAGTCGTATGCGTCCATCCCAGCATCCTAGTGCTACAATTCTGTTGTCAGAGCGTATCTTTATACTATTAATGCCAGGATTAATTATTTCCTTTGTTCGTGTTCTGACAAGACTACTGTTTTTGTCAATGTTGAAAAACATCACCTGACTGGATACACTACCACATATGCCACTCATAGTAACTTCACTGAAATCTACAGCAGTTAGACAATTCTCAAATTTCAAATGATCCACTATATGCCGTTTCCTGAAATCCCACAAATGCAAATCTCCATTCTCATATGTCACCAACAGATATGGCTCTTGACTGATATGGATTACTTTTAATGCCATTACTTCTCCTAGAGCAACATTATCATCTTTATCTCTCTCAAAAGATATAATTTTGGAATGGGTTTTCAAAGAATAAATTTCAACAACTGAATTCTTCTTGGGGCATGCCACAATTCCTCCTTGGTCATCTGCAACATCAATTCTACTAAATCCACAATAATCAAGATGCACAAATTTAGATACAATCCATGAGGATTCTTGAGGTGTCCATAAATTTATATGGCCTTTCCTCTCTTGTGTCACAAGTGTATTATTGAGCAATTTCAAGGCCATACATGCTGATGTTCCGGCATTAAGTACAGTCTTCTCTTTGCGAAATGTTGTAAGGTTCCATTCAGAAATCTGACCATCTTCTGTTCCAGCAAGCAGCGTGTCCTCCATGAATAACAAGCTATGCACAGTTCTTTCCTCCCTCAGCACATATTCTGCATCTGGAGGCTTTAGAGCCATCTTTTACATATATACTTGAACAAAATTAAGTTATATTAAACTAAATATATGATTAATCAAAGATCAAAGTTTAGACTTATATACAATGCACCGTCTTATTTAACTCTATACACATTACACACAATGGCTTGTCATTTATTTGGCTATAGGCGACACAGTCTTTCATTAGGTAAAAACATGCAGCTGAATAATTTTCAACACTCGGGCTCCCTTTGTTTGATTATCGCAAAATGTCTTTTTGCTTTGCTTTACCTAACAGGGGCAAGTGGCGTGAGCGTATGTATGTATAGGGCACATAACTGTTTTAACAGTCTCTGATAGTGACATGTAATATGCTTTCGAACGTACAAAAATGTTCGTAATACTGCTTTTGTAAGATTCAAACTAAACACGATTTTAATAGGCGGCAGAAGCATTGCACAAAGCACAGTTCAATTAATATTTCCAAACACTGCCTTGATTCAAGCCTTGAAGCGAACATTCTGAATAGTTGTTAATGTTGATTATTCCTGAGCAATTAAAATCATAACTCCCACTTGCTCTGCACAGTTGAAATTCAGATTATATTGCGCGTCTTAGGTCCTACTCCCTGTCAACCCCGTGAAACTCCCATGTTATTGGTTGGCAACATGGCCGCCATGACACCTCGGTGAAACGCTGCTGCCATCTATGTTCAGCTTACATGACTAAATTAAAAATGACCTCCAGGGCCGAGAGCAGAATCAGTAAGAAGGTGTGCTACCTTAGCAACTATTTTGAGTGCTCACCCCTCGCCCCCTTCAAAATGCTTTTTTCGCTACTAGCAATAAATACTTTTAGATCTCTTGTACTGCAGTCTCTCTTTCCTTCTGACGTTCCCACTAATAACCTATATGCATTCCTCGCCTCCCCATTCGTGCTATATGCCCTGCCAACCTCATCCTCCTTGACTAGTGATATTGAACACAGGTCAAAGTATTCATTTCCCCACCAACCTGTTTCCATTTTTGAACTGTGTTCAATATCACTCGTCGAGGAGGATGAGGTTGGCAGGGCATGAAGCACGAATGGGGAGGCGAGGACTGCATATAAAATATTAGTGGGAACGCCAGAAGGAAAGAGATTAGTGTGT